TCGCCCATGTCCACGAAACGGGTTAAAGTTTTTCAACAAATCCTGAACGCCGCCGAACATGTTGGGAAATACCATGCGCAGCGAAACTAACTGGCATTACCCTCGGCGTCTCAACTACCGAAGAAACTGGCCGCTCCAAGAGAGCCAACCTCGCCAACCTTTGCGACTCGCCTGCTTTTGCATCCGGTGCCCTCCCGCGTCCGCGTTGGCGGGAGACACCCCCTGTCCCTCGCGCATTCCCACCACGCAACCATGGGCAAGCCCGACGGCCCCGCCCGCCGCCCCGCGCGCGCAGCGATGACAGCGCGCCCCTCCTCCCCACCGCCGTCGTCGACCCCCTCGGCCCGCACGCCACGCCGCACCGCTGCCGTCGCTGCCGCCCTGCGCATCCACGTGCACCAGCGCGCGCACGATTTGCCGAGAGCCCCGCCGCTCCCGCCGCACTGGACGCTCGCCGACGCGCTCGACCTCGCTGTCCCCGCGGCCGACGCGGATCGGTGCACGTGCCGTGATCACGCCCACTTCATCAACGACGACGACGAAGGCGAGGACCCGGGAATGGCCATGGACGTCGACGTGACCTCGCGCGCGCCGCCGCCGCCTCCGCCGTGGGAAGATTTCGAGGACGAGGACGATCCATACGCGCGCAGTGCCGAGTCGTCGGCGGATGAGGCCGACGACGACGAAAGTGACCCGCTCGCCCGGATTGACCGCGCGCGCCGCGCCAAGGCCGCTGCCGCCGCCGCTGCCGCTGCATCGAGCCCGCTCGCCGCACTCGTCCACGCCGTGACCTACCCCGTGCGGTCTGTCTGGCACTGGCTCGCGCGCGCGGTGCCTGTCAAGGCACGTCTCCACGTTCGCTCTCCACCCAATTCAATTCGCCCTCGTTCTCATGCTGTCGATCAACATCTAGGCGACCCGCGGCGCCGCGAAACGCGCCCCCCGGCGGCCCGCGCCGCGCACGCACCGCACCTCCCCGCACCCGTCGACGATCCCGCGACACGATTCGCTCTTTGCCGATAAACTCGCCGCGCAAGTCTCGGCACACGCCGCATCCACCAGTCCTGACGGGAAACCGTCGCCGTCCGGCTTGCGGCCCGACGATCGGTCCCGTCGTTCCGTGACGCGCGGCTCGCACCGATTCCGCGCATCGTGCCGTGCCCGGTGCACGGGCACGGACGGGCGCGGTCGCGCGAACGGGCGCCGTAACAACAACAGTGGTTGTTTCCGGGACGCGAACGGCGCGGG